CTCCCTGCTGAGCAGGGAGCCCGATGTGGGACTCGATCCCGGGACTCCAGGATCATGACCTGAGCCGAAGGCAGTTGCTTAACCAACTGAGCCACCCAGGTGCCCACAAAAGGCTCTATTATTGGGAATATGGGCACCTATTCCAAATTTTGATCTCCAAATTTGTCTCTATAGAGCTGTGAACATGAAGACAAGCATGGTCATGTCTGGGAGCAGAGAAATGACCCTACTTTCAAACTATCCTTTTTTAGTTTGAATGTGTGCTAACATAAGTTTTGAAGAAAAAAAAAATCCCGGCCTCTTAAGAAAACTCTGGCAGAAGCTGGGGCTTAAAACTAGAGGAGCCTGATGGAGTAGTTAATTAACTTTCAAACAAATATTAGCTTCAATGAATGGAAGCTAGTGTTCAGATGGGGAGAATCTTCTCTTAATTGGAAAGACGATCCTGGGAATGGTAACCTCCTGCAAACACACACCATGTAATCTCTCTCACAGGTAAAACAAAGCCACCCAAAGTAGAAAACAACTCAATCTTGTACAAAATGGATCAGAAGGCCTAAGGGCTTTCCCGGGAGCAGAGAACACTCAAAGAGGTATTCTTCAACTTGGGCAATTGGAGTAAGTTTAATATCAGCAGGAAATATCTACTGTGGCAGTATACGGATGGAAAGGAAACTGTGTACAGGCCGAACCCCAGCCCTTCTCCACACAACAAAGGAAAGAGGACTGACTGGGTAAACAAGATGCAGTGAGTGCATACTACAGAGTATCGTGCGTCAACTAAGACAAACAAATTAGATTTACACACTGAAATGGGACTAGATCTTAAAAACATTCTAAATGAAGGGTGCCTGGGTGGCTCAGTTGGTTAAGCATCTGACTCTTGATTTCAGTTCAGGTCATGGATCTCAGGGTCGTGGGACTGAGCCCCATGATGGGCTCTGCACTCAGTAGGGAGTCTGCTGGAGATTCTCTCTCTCCCTCTCCCCCTGCCTCCCCTAAATAGTCTTTTTTAAAAATTCTAAATGAAAAACAGCCAAAAAAAAGGAATGGTATCTATAGCACAATTTTCACTCTATGTAAATTTAAAATACATGCACTCAAAACACCAAAGTCTGCTCTCAAGAACATGTGAGAGAATACATAAGTACACTGGAATGATTAGGAGGCAGAAGAAAAGAATGAACGTGGTTAACGGTGATAAATAACAAGGGAATTAACATATAAGTAACACAAAAAAGGGGCTTTTCACAGCCCAGTGATGTTAATGTGCCATGACCAGAAGTATAACTCAGTCTCTGTACTGGAGTTCCCACCCCAAAAGAAGAGGATTGGATTAAAAAGTGATTAATAATGAATTTATTAATAAATATTTACATTATTTAATTATAGTTTTGTGTACCCATGTTTGCATTATTTGCTTGTAGCTTTATAATAGAGAAATAATAGCTATTATATAATAGCATATGAAATTATATATAAGTTCTCTTAAGATAGTTGAATACTACTTGAAAGCTTAGTTTTGTTTTTTTTTTTTGAAAGCTTAGTTTTCTTAACTGTATTTGACATTTGGTCAGCTTAACCTCCTTCCCACCCCTAGCACATTTTGTTGGCTCCCTTAGTTTGTTCTGCAAACCTGTTCCCCCAAGATAATGGGAAAGACCGGTTAGCCAAATGACCACATAATATAAATTGATAGGATACAAATTGTTTCAATATATTTAAGGGGAAAATGCTGGGTTTTTTGCAAATGCATTCCTTAGTGTTAAATTTTAAGACTATGTGTTCAAAAATACAGATGCACATCTCAAGAAAGTCATGGACAAAGCTAAGAATATCCAGAGGACGGTGATCAAGATGACACAGCTGAAACCATCTCACACAAGAAATAGTTGGAGGGAGGCCTCTAGTGGAATACTGCCAGGCTCCATCCTGTTCAACAAATTTCAACAAATCTCTAATCACCTAACTCTGTAACAGGCACTCTGTAAGGTGTTAGAACAGCACTGTCCAATAGAAATATAATACCAGCTACTTCTGTAATTCAAAATTTTCTCATAGCCACCTTAAAAAAGTAAATGGAGGTGAAATTAATTTTAATAATATATTTTAACCAATATATTTAAAGTATTATCTTTTCAACATGTAATCAAAATAAAAATTATTAGTAAGATTTTCCATTCTCTTCTTGGTATTAAGTCTTAATGATACAGTGTGTATACTTAGAGCATATCTCAATTCAGTCTATCCACATTTTCAAGTGCTTACTAGTCTCTTGTGGCTTGTGGCTACTGTATTAGACAGCACAGGGTTAGAGATACTAAATTAAAGCATGCGCACACACACACACACGCGCACACACACAGTCTATGTGTCAAACAAAATACACACCACAAAATGAAAGCCATATCCTATTGCAAGTTTTCAGCTTTTTCCCCCACCAAGACCCAGAAGGGATAACTGACAATTACAGCTTTCTTCCTCTTTCTCGAAAGTAAGTTGAAATACAAAATGAGGTAACCTCAAGGCTGTTTTAATGTATAAAGAGAGTTCTAGTACCTTAACTACTAGTGTTAACAGATTACTTTGGACACACTTCCCAACTGACAAAGCACCAAGGTTCTCCACCGCCCTCCAGATGTGACCTAGAAACAGGAATAGTCAGCATAGGCTGTGCTTTGGTCATCACCAGCAAAAAGAGAAGTCTCCCATGTCATATAGGTACACACAATTTAATCAATTTAATCAATCTCTTTTACAAGTATGAGTCTCTAGAAATGTCACCACAGAAGGACACTGAGAATCCATATTTATTCCCTTCTTGCTGGAAATTATAAATTATGTTTATGAGTAGATGAATTACATCATTTCCTCTGAAAAGAAAGAAAAAAGTTTTTGTAATGAATTTGCTTGATCCTACTCTAGAATTTGAAAATGGGGAAATAAGACTATCCCCTTAGAATAACCCTATGAAACTGATACACAATAGTCCAGATCAAAGATTTGCAATGTTAACTGAAAGCAGTCTATCCCAGCATCTTCCTCAGCAACATCTCCCAGGGAACTGAGCAATTCGAAAAACAGCCCTGCTGATTCACCTGCCTCCCTCCCTCAGCACTGCTCCCTTCACTGCCCACGAAGCATGAATGACTCTGAGGCCAGGAGATGGATGCTGTCAATTAGCAGAGGGTCCCATCCACAACAGAAGTTAACAAGGAAGGGTAAGAGAGAGAGGGGACAGTGTCCATATCAACACTGTCTACTGGGAGGTACCCTGGCTTGGGAACTCAAGAATCAAAACTCACGCAGGGTTTCTACACTGGAAAACAATACGTGAGGTTCATGACACTATGGTCATCCAAATGGCTCCCTGTGCTTAATCTTGGTCAAATGATCAGCAAACAGATTTTTGATTATAATGTCGCTTCCTAGGATGATCTGCCTACAGTGCAAAAAAAATGTGCTAATTGAAAACATGTATTTGGTTCACTTGGTTATTATTATTATCTTTTTCACTCTATATGGATAACATTCTTGGTTTTAGATAGTTTCTTGTCATTTATAACTAACCACTCCCACAAAGCTCAATCTAGTTTGGGGACACTAATTTCTCCTCCTGCAAGCCAAAGTTCATGGTTTTCCTAAGCAAATGCTTGCTGGGTCCTTGGAGCAGCCCTCTGGCCTCCCCAGGAATATTCCTCTGCTTTAAGGTGGGTCTTCTGCAAACTACAATGAATCATTATGTAAACTGGCCATTCCTACCTTAAAGGAGGCAAGAATTATTGGCAATTTATCTATACACATTACCACCCTCCCCTTGCCTAGAGACATTTCAACAGCCCCTTCATTCCAACCTTTCCAAGCTATGATAATCATATGACACACAACACCCTTGATTCCATGACAGTCTTTTCCTTCCCTAAAAATTCTGTATTTTTTCTTGTTTTCAATGAAAATATATTAAACTAAAATGAATTTTTCCCAGAATTTCTCAACTTTGCTAGAGTGCCACAAACCAAAACTGTGGATCACAATATTATAATGGGTCGAAATGCTGGTTTTTAATCTGGGTAAATGCGAACAGATGTTTGCTATATTTGTCTTAGTACTTAATTCTCAAGTTTGAAATAGTTCACTATTTTAATGTGGCCTCTGAGTGACTTGCGCATAATAGGTCCTAAAAAACAGTTTTTGTAAAAAATAAGTTTGAGTGACGGGGCGCCTGGGTGGCTCAGTCAGTTAAGCACCCGACTCTTGATTTCGGCTTAGGTCATGATCTCAGGGTCCTGGGATCGAGCCCCACATCGGGCTCCCTATTCAGCACAGAGTCTGCTTCCCCTCTCCCTCTGCCGCTCCCCCTGCTTGTGAGCCCTCTCTCTCTCTCTTCCTGTCAAATAAATAAAGTCTTAAAAATAGTAAGATTGAGGGCGCCTGGGTGGCTCAGATGGTTAAGCATCTGCCTTCGGCTCAGGTCATGATCCCAGGGTCCTGGGATCGAGTCCCGCATCGGGCTCCCTGCCCCTTGGGAGCCTGCTTCTCCCTCTGCTTCTCTCTCTCTCTCTCTCTCTCTCTCTCTCTCTCTCTCCCTCTCTCATAAATAAATAAAATCTTTAAAAACAAAAACAAAAAAAATAAGATTGAATGAATGAATATAAATATTCAAAGAAATTCTCTTTAATAGAGATGACATAGGTTGAGATAAGCAACTGAGGTACTTCATTCGTAACTATATTAACACAGCCCCTTATCTTTCCTTTATTCTTCATGATAAAGGCGAGAGAGACCTCGAGAACAAGGATAGCAACAAGGCCTTTTGTCGTTCTGTACTTCTAGGACTAGCCTGTTCTGGATAACCTGCAGATTTTGAATTGGGAAGAATCAAGTTTGACATGAGAGCTTCTCTTTAATAAACACCCTCAGAATTAAGAGACTGTAAAACGAACACGCCCAGCAGGTACCCGGTGAGAACACGCACGCAGGCTGGCCTCAGGAGCCAATACCTGGGGCCGCGCTGTCAGGGTGGTATTCGGGCTCCTCTTCGGGAGGGCTCTGCAGGAAGTACAGCTGCTCCGGCAGCATGTTGGCGATCTTCTCCTTCCCCAGGACGTGGGTGCTCAGAAGAGGGCTGACGCTCCGTTTCACCTTCTCTCTCCTCTCATGGGCCATAATCTTTTTGGTCCGAGCCTTGATGTTCTCCCAGCACTTCTTCAGCTGCTTGAAATCCCGCAGTGACACGCTCGGCTGAGAGTTGTATTCGTGCGCAAGCGCCTGCCAGGTGCGCTGCTTGAGTGCAATAGTTCGCGCGTCGCTTTTCTTGCATTCCAGCACATATTTGTACTTTTCTACCAAAGCAAGCAGGATGCTCTTTTCCAATTCCGAGAAGTATTTGGCAGGTTTTATGATTTCGTTGTTTTGCATTTTCCACTCTATTTCTCCTGGCTGTTAGCGATCCTGAAAAGGAAGTTTGGAACAATCATTACTAACTCCAGCAAGGAAAATGGCCGCAAATCACGTCAGCTTAATCCCTGACATGATTCCCTTGCCTGAAACGCAGGACTTTCTCTCCCATTAATGCTGAATTAGGATAGTCTCAGGAAAAACGTTCAGAAGGTCACTAGAAGTGGGGTTTTACTTCAAAGAAGATTTTCAAGCAGGTCCTTTATTGTAGGTCTTGGCCATTCTGAGAATATCTTGTATGTAACCGCAAAAAAGAAAAGTTGAACATCTAAAAGGAACTCTTACTTTGTTCATTTATTTCTGCTCAATGTCAGAGAACTGATCATTCCCCACATTCATAATGTTAGGCAGCTTTTCAACTAAACAGCTTTCTCAAAGTTTTGTCACAGCTGAGGACAAGAAAAGCCAGTGTAACCAAATGGGATGGATAACATAAGCACTGAGATTTCAGAATCATCAAGAAATCACCCCAAAAGACCTGACATTTCCATCACTATGTCTGTGACCTTGGACAGGGCCATGCTCCTAGAGGAACCTGTTTCTTCATCTTTAAAATGAGGGCTTGGAGTCTGTGATCCCTAAGGTCTGAGGGCCACTTTTACGTGTACAGTCCCATGTAAATAATTCATACAATTTCAGAGGTGAAAGGGCCAACAGCCCTTTTCTCAATTGAGGGAACTAAGGGCCAGTAAGTAGACTTTCCAAGATCACAAAGATGGCACCTTGGGGGGTCAAGAATCTAGACTATCCCCATAATCTGGTATTTTTTTTAACACACCAAATATTCATTTTTATTACGGATATTCCTTTAAAGTCTTTGTTCACATATAATAAGTTATCAATTATATATTATAATTTTTGAAATACTATATTTCTCCATTTTAAGAATAAGTCTACATACCTTTTAATATATTTAGTTTAAAAATATATATGTAAGGGCGCCTGGGTGGTGCAGTCGCTCGAGATCCAACTCTTGATTTCGGCTCAGGTCGTGATCTCAGGATCATGCGATCAAGCCCCATGTCAGGCTCCCTGCTCAGTGGGGAGTCTGCTTGGGATTCTCTCTCCCTCTCCCTCCCCCTCTCCCTCTGCCCACCCTCTCTCTAAAATAAATAAATAAATCTTTAAAAAAAGAAAAATATATTTAATATACCTAAATTTAATTTGATAGCCATATACATAATGAAATTATTACTACAGTCAAGCTAATTAACGTATCATCTCCTCGCATAGTTACCTTTTTTCTTTTGAAAGATTTTATTTTTTAAGTAATCTCTACACCTAATGTGGGGCTTGAACTTACAACCCCAAGATCAAAAATCACATGTTCTACCGATGAGCTGCCAGGTACCCCAACACAGTTCCCATCTTTGTGTGTGTGCTAAGAGCACCTGGAACCTACTCTCTCAGCATATTTCCAGTATTCGATACAGTATTATTCTCTATAGACATAGACTTGTTCATCCTACGTAACTGCAACTTTGGACCCTTTGTCTATTATCTTCCCATTTCCCCCACCTCTGTCCTCACTCTCTGGTAACCTGTGTTCTACAATCTGCTGCCGCTAGCAGTTCAAATACCCTAGTATTCTCAGTATCATTTCACAACTATCTCTTGGGCTCTCACCTTGGGTGATTCCAAACTACTCAACAACCATGACTTCCTTAGGTCATCTTACCATCCTCCCCAGTACTGAGCCAGCATCTTTCACACAAAAAATGCTTAGTAAATGTCTTACTCCCCTGAACCTATGTGCGTTTTGTGACCCCACGTGTTTCCCACATCTCTTAATCACAGGAAGTTTCCTATGCAATTAATCTCTCAAATACATTCTGGCAAGAATGTCACTAAGCAACACTGAATACAGCAATAAAATGAGTGTTGCATGTTTCCCTTTGTGGAAAGGGCCAACACATCAGTCCTTATATTTTCCAAAGCTTCTGATTTTTTGGAATAACAGGTAAGCATCAAGATACTGATGATGCAGTCCATTTAAAACTGATCAACTCATATCAAAAGAATTAGGAACCAACTTGAAAGGCACCAACTTGAAACATTTGAACATCAACAAGGGTGACAGGTACACAAACATTCATTAAATTATTCTCTCCATCTTTGTGTATGTTTGAAAAGTTCCACAATAAAAAGTTAGGGGAAAAGGCTGTGACTTTTAAATAAATGGTATACTAATTTAAAATCACACTATTACAAGCCAGCTATTCGCATACTATGCCCGGGGAGGGGTTACTATAGTTGTGAAGAGCTGAAATCTGTTAGACCTGCAGCTGGAGAGGACCAGGCGATATCAGAGAGCCTTGAGATTGAGGCCAAGGAGCATGGGCTTTCCATGAAGGCAAGAGAACCCAATTAGGGTCTCTCACTGTGCACCACCTCATCCCCAAAGTTAAGGTTAGAATGAAGTACTCATGTGACTAGTGTCTCCGAATACCAGGTACCCTGCCCCACACTCACTGTGGGGAATATCAGTTATCAGAGATCAAGAGATTTAGATATATGTCAAGGCTCTTTGACCCTCAGGTCTTGGACAAAGCTAAACAAGGAGAAATTTATCTTTGGGTATATATCTCTGCACCCCTAAAGTCCCAGGCCTGTATTTCAATCATACTGGTCTAATGTCCCTACAATTACCCAATCCAGGCCCCTTCTTCCCCAAAGGTCCAAAATTTTTTGCATTCATCAATATTCTTATTCCCTATAAATCAACATTCCCTAAACAGAAATTTATTACTATACACCTGCTACAATACAGCTCTTCTGTACTATTTCTAACTCTACCAAGATATCTATGCCCAACTGAATGTTCTTAAACGACACAGATTCTAGAACAAATTCTGATCCTCCCATCCCAGCTCCTCTGCACCAGGAGATGTCAATATGCCTACCTTCCCTTACACTCTCACTCTTTTTAAGAATCATTGCTATAAAGGGGCACCTGGGTGGCTCAGTCAGTTAAGGGTCTGCCTTCGGCTCAGGTCATGATCTCTGGGTCCTGGGATAGAGCCCCGCATCAGGCTCCCTGCTCAGCGTGGAGTCTGCTTCTCCCTCTGCCCCTCACCCCTCCTCCTCCACTCGTGTGCTCTCTCTCTCTCTCACCCCCTTAAATAAATAAAATCTTAAAAAAAAATCATTGCTATAAAGATTGAGAAATCTGATTCGCAAATGAAAAAGGAATTGTTCCCTATGTTTTTCCAATATAGGCAATGCTATTTCTATGTATTTATTTATTTATATACTTTTTCTTTCTAGATTTTTTTTCTAACTTTACTTCAAGATAAATTCCTAGAAAAGACAAAAGACGAATCACTTAAGACTTCTGTTACATCACCATCTGTCCTCCAGAAATGGTGTACCAATTCACATTCCTACTAATAGCGCATGAGCACTTCTGTTTCCCTACTTCGTTTAGTGGTGCTATTAACATTTTTTTTATTCTATGCCAACTATGAAGGTGAAAAATGTCACTTCACTGTTTAACGAAATATGAATTCCTGCTCTCAGGCAAATAAGTCACATTCTGAACAAAGTCCCTGTGATACTTGGTGGAGCTGAAATTCCATGGAATTAATTTCAAGCAATTAAATGATTCTACCTTACAATGTATGCAGTACCACTCGCTGCCACCAGGTGGTGGTGACCTCGTGGAGAGTATATTGACCCGTGTGACCAGTTGAGTCTCTAGTAACTGCCGTTAACAATAGCAGATAACCTTTATTGAGTCCTTACTGTGGGTCAGACGCTATACTAAGTGCTTAATATGCACTATATCATTTAATCCTCCCAAAAATAGTCCCCGAGACCCCATTTGTTACACTACAGTATTTTCTGCTAAAAAAAAAAACTTTATTAAAGTACCGACTGCTCTCAAAAGCAAATACTCAGAATTACCAACACCTGGGGACCATTAATAGCCTATTAACTAAACTGTTATTTAATCACTAGCTAAGTAAATCCAGAGTTACCAATTTACTTTGCTTAATTTTGTAGAACAGTAGGTGTCGCTGGGCCATGTGGTTGCATTCTGCAGGGCTATAAAAGAATTCTGGTATGACGCAGTGTACCCAAAAGGTCCCCTATGGATTCCCAACAGCCTCATGAAGTAAGCTGTTCATTCCCACTAACCAATTCCATTTCTCAGGTCAGAAAAGTGAGGCTCAGTAACCTGCCTGTGGCCACACAAAACGTAAGTGGCAGAACCAGATTCAAACCCAGATCCAATGTCCTCACCCTGCTTAGCTCTCCTTTTTGGGACCTGGTTGCCGCTCCTGTCCCTGCTCAAATTACATGTCAATCAGCAATCTGTCAGCAGGGAAAGCTCCTAGGGTAGAGCTACTTATGAGGAGCTGTTCCTGCTTCTGTCCATCTCCTTTTGGCGGCTCTTCGCTCTTCCCCTCACCTCCCCCCATCACCTCAGCCTCCATGTCTCAAACCTAGGGCCCACAGCCACCCCGCCCCAAGGTGAACCACTCTCTTTCTAACCAGAGCTCTGAAATAATTTCTGCTGTTGATCTGATAAGAATGTATGTTTGAGAAGTACTGTTGAGATGATACATAGCTTCAAGATGGTCCATGCCTCAGGGGAACACTGACATTCTGCTTGAGCACCTGACAGTCCTAAGTAAACAAACACTTCTCAAAGAGATCTCCAGGCGAAGCTTGTTAATAGAAACTTTGAGGCCAGAAAGCACATTCTAGCTTAAAACTACCCAGCAATGTCCATAACTGGTTATAGATGACAACATAATAAGCCTTTCCTGCTGCATCAGCTTTTGTTAGAGAAAGACGGGCCTTCCCCGCCCCTCAACTCTGCTCAATACAGATCATCTTTTCTGTCCACTGTTGTGCTAGACAACAGTGCTACCAGTCCTAAAGCAAGTTGTGGTTCAACTAACAGCCCAGTGACCCTCACAGTCATGGGCCTTCATTAAACATTTAATGAATGAATACATTCTGATATAGGCATCAAACTGCCTATC